ACCAAGCCAAATTAATTGCAGGGACATTTTCAGGTAGCTGTGTCATTTCCACGAATTTGACATCGTTTCAGTGCTGCCAACGATTCCGGCTGCAGAATACAAATTGGGAGATGGACGGCGTGAATCATTGCCGAATTCGACACCATTTCGTCCTCTCAACGGTCCACTATACTGCCGTGCTAAGAAAAAACGCCGTATGAACATTCGAGACTTGCCAAAGGTATCCGGATAAAACATGTATTTTTGAGGAAAGCTATGCTTATTTTTCTTTGAAATTCTCAAGTATTTAAATAAAATTGAGAACAAAATTGTCTGAAAATGTTTGATAAGATGACGACAATTTTTCCCAGTGAATTCGTTTTTTATTGAAGGAAATATGGCAACGTCTGAAGGCTCTTACGAAGTTTTTCCTTTGCACGGCAGTATACGATATCGTCGATCTGTTGACACAAGAAGTAACTCCATTTTTGCGTGAGCCCTCAAAGAGGGTGGATATAACCGACAACGAGGCTCATCTAAAAGTATTGTGAGGACCTTGTGTCAGCAGAGGGATGGTATCAGAGAGTGATTACGGGACCGCGAGTATCCTGTTCCGAGAGGGATGTTGACCGTTACCCGTGTTTGCGCGCGAATCCACTCAATCGCTGGCGTATTGGATGCATGCCAAATTGGACATCAGGGAACAGAAGAAACAGACCGCTATGTAAATTAACTCATCAGGGCCCACCAAAGCAGGTCATTAAAGAGCTCGAAACACCTCAGATCATCCTTCAATTTCATGTTGCTCTCCACGTAAAATTTTGATAATAAGTTTTTGAAATTTCATGGAAAATAACCTGTGAAAGTACATTTAAGTCGCTTTGCAGCACTCCTTGGAGTTCTGCGACCCCTAACCACTGCCCTCTGTCGAACTCCAACCCTTCGAGCATCGAGCATTTTGACATTTCTGCTGCAATCCCATCCCTTCAACTTCTTATTTGGCGCCCCCTGCGACTTCTCCCAGGTTTCCCAGGAGGAACCCAATCAAGGACCTTCTTTGGCAACCTATCTCCTGCCATTCTTTGAGCATGCCCGTACAAAATAAGTTGTTTCGTCATAATATCATGCACGATGGTCTTTTTGGCATCAGGTTTCCCGCACCGTCTCATTCAAAAAAGAAAAGTAAAAAAAAAGCTCCTGTGGAAATTACATGAGAAGAGTTTCATGTGTAATTTCAAATTTTTATTTTCCACGAATTTTTCTATCTCGGCAAAAAATTTCAAAGGGGATGGGCCGCGTTGGGTCAGGGTGCCGATCACCTGGTTTCCTAGTTTCAAAATCCAAATCAACTCACAGGTGTGTTCAGGGAAGATTCTCCTTTTAACAATACACGTCAGATTGGCCTCCTCCTCTTCTACCCTCTTCAAGTACCTCTGGATCTCACACACCTGACATAATATATGGACCCCCCGATGTCGTTGTTGTTCCCCGAAATTGATTACGTTCCGGAGAAAAACAACGGCACACAGTGGATCGAGTCAATAGGAGAGGTCGGACGAATTTGTAAACTTTAAACGCTTATAACTCCGTTTTTACAAACTTTGAGGTCCTAAAAGTGGTACCAATGATTTCCTCGTAAAATTTCCACCCAGAATCACCCGTTGAACTTTGAAATGTGATAAAATAAATATCAAAATTCGCATATTTTGTAAAAAAATTCATATCCGACCTAGGTAATACAGAATTTGTAGGTATCTAAAATTTGATGAATTTTGTGTTGGGTGGAAACTACTGAGTGAACTGAACACGAGGATGCCTTCGGCTCATGAATTGAACGATTATTGGAGAAGATATGACAAAATGTGTTTAAAAGGGAAATGACGCCAGATGACGTCACTAGGAGGTGCATTTTCTCACTTTTGAATTTATTTTCATACTGCTCCCCATATCAGAAAAAAATTATAAAAAATACTGTGCAATCAGCTCCTTAGGCACTATCTTAGAGCACCCCTTGAAAGGTAAAATGTGACGAAATAAGTACCAGATTTTGCAGTTTTAGTCAACAATTTCATGTCCGACCCCTCCGATTGACTCGATCCACCGTGCGGCATCACGAAAAATCCTCCACGGAGCTAACGGAATTTTCGATTTCGTTACGAGTGGATGCTGGGGCTTGGCAACGCGGCGCGGCTGGCGGGCGAATAGATAACGACAAGGTATAAACGGACATTGATTTATAGGAGACTGTCTTGAGTATGTTCGACATTTCTCGTCGGGGCCCGCNGGGGGGGGGGGGGGGGGTGCGACTGCTCCGGGCGGAACTCGAGACGCCTCCCTCGGGATCCGGCGTCTTTCCGGTCTTTGTTGCCGGAGCCGGACGAATCAGACGTCAACCGAGACCCGGAGAAAAATGCCCCGGCCTCGGACCCAAACGCCGCAGAGATTGAGATTGCACCGACTCCTGCGCTTTTCAAAATTTTCACGCTTTACGTCAAGGTTTTAACGGTGGTAATAAAGGCAATTAGAAGTGTTTTTCGAGGTTCTCTTTTTTTTTGGGGGGTCACTACGGACTTTTTAAAGGGGGATATATAAGTCGTCACCTTCCGGCCAAAGTACCCCAGGTGTCCTTTAAAAATTTCCGCCGCGCATGTCATTTATACACAGAAAAATTGTTGGTTGAATCTGTTTGAAAATTTCACTGAATTTCATCGGCCGCAGCACAAAGAAAATTCGGTGAAATTTTTGGACAGCTTCGTAGAAAAATTTCTCTGCAAAAAAATAAAATGGCAGCGGAAATTTGACGGGAATTAGGCTCGTATGACGCTCGTGATACTTTGGCCGGAAGATGACGATAAGCAGCACAAACATCACTCAAAGTTAGCACATCAACTCTTCGTAGGTCGCGGTCAGACCATCATAAAACGCCTTCAAATGCGTGTGATACTGTGCAACACGCCAGAGTTGATATAGTTGTATTCTTAGGTTTGAACCTAACTCAAGTTTACTCTACCAAATAAGGCGTGTTGAAAATTTCAACAATGCGGTTTTCATGGCAAGATTTCGAGTCAAAATTTGCATTTTTAACAAAGTTGCAATCACTTGTAATGAACAAGGTCACGGCTGACAACAGCTCATCGACTTTGAAAATTCAAAAAGATGCTTGAAATCTTGGCGCATGTGGCATTTGGGTGTCACAGAACGCCACGTTATAGGAGCGACTTTTATGTATGTGTACTTGGAATCTTGATCATTTTTCGGTTCTTAATACGGAAGAAAGAAACGGATACGACAGTTTGTCGTCTCCCGGACTGAGAAACTTAACTCCATTCCCACATTGCCGAATCGACTCAAACGATTAATTTATTTTACGAAATTGTACCTGTGCAATTTCTGTCCAAAACTTCTCTCATTTTGCATGAAATCTGAGGGAAAATCAGTGAAATTGTCAGTTAAAAATACCCAAGATTCTCCCAGTTCATATGCATTTACTAGGAGAAATCTGGCAAGGGCAACAGTGAAATGGAGTTCCCTTCTTTCGCGAGGAAAATGACGAATTAAGGACCGAACGGCAAAGGAGAAATTATAATTCCCATAAATCTTATTTTTGCTCTCTTGCGGGCCGATTATTGAAATTGATAGACAAAGCTTTAGACAAAGAAGATAAGGAAGATATAGAGGGATCCTATTGGTGGTTGCAATGGACAAAGGAGGTAGGTAATAGACTAAGCATCGGTACCCCACGAGGAGCTCGATAGTTAGTCCATCATTTTTTCCCTTAGTCTATAGGAACCACCCATTTCAAGCAAAAGGATAGCTCCACACCCTCTACGTCTTCTTTGTCTATCGCTTTGTCTACCAATTCCAATGATCGGCCGGCAGAAAAGTCGTCAAAATCTTGGTTTGCCTTTTTGCCGTTAAAACGACGAATTAGCTGCGTTTTCTTCGAAATCCCGATTTTTCGAGCTCCAACTTTAAAACGCTCTAGAAAAGTCAGTCATTGAACCTTTTGAGAGCGTTCTTTTAGGCTTATGTTGCGGAATTAACCCCTCTATGCAGTGGTATTTTTAACTCAGTTCAATTTTTCTTGTTAAGACATTGGCCCATCGTTTTGAATTCAGATATCGAGGGCTGACGAACAATTCCGCCCAACCGACGATTTTGGCGGAAATAAGTCAGCAAATTTGCCGCATTCTACTATATAAAATACACAAGCTGATGATTTTAGTTTTTTCCAATTCTCTAGGGGAGCGTCACAGAAACGCTGTAATGTATTAGAAAATTCCAAGAGTAGCGAAGGTTTCTCTTTCTTCTGCAAAATCGCTAGTTCGCAGATAGGCCTTGTCTCCACGGGACGTTTTCATGGGATTTTTCCCAAGTTCGAATCGCAGGAATGAAACTTCTGGGATTTTTCCCAGTTACCGTCTCCACGGGACAGGGCTCTTTGCAGTCCTGCGACTAATTTGCGCGGGAAGATAAATTAGTTAAAGTCGAGTATTTGACCGGGATTAAAATAATAATTGCACTCAATTGACAATTAGACACATTTTTTAACTAAACAAACATGAACAATGTAGTAATGAATAAAATATCGTACAATTCGTTTTCACTTCTTCTTCTTCTCTCAGTGGGTCCTAGGGGTACAAGTACCATACTTGGTACTGGGAAAAATATTGATTAACTCAATATTTTTCCCAACTTCGTAAGTTTTTTTTCTTTTCTTTTTTTTCTACTACTTCAAATAGCCCTCTAGGGCTAATCCCACGCCTTAAGTCCCATCCCCCCTCCGTCCCTACTGAACCAGTCCCAGGCAACCATAGTTTGAGACCATCAAACTCGGGTCGCCTGGCCGGGAATCGAACCCGGGACCTCCCGATCATAGAGCAAGCGCTACAACCACTATACCATAGGAGGCCGACAAGTGGGATTTTTCCCTGGGACAAATCTCGCGAAACGGCTCGTGGAGACAAGGCCATAGAAGGTATTGTTTGTTAGACATCGATATGGGTAGAAGTGGGCTTTACCTTGATGTTGTTGGCACCGGGCTTGGATTTGTCGTGGAAGCAGCGTGACGCGTTGGAGGGCCTGTGATTGTACTCGCGGCCATGTTCCACGTCTTGGTCCATCACACACGGCTGCAGCGTCAATCGCGTGACGCCTACGGTGGAAAGCTCGCCACCCTCATCAGCAGAAAGGTCTGAAATGTAAAACACACAGACATCATTACCACGATCGATCCGTGAACAAGGATAAGCGATGCAAATGTATAACTGAAAGCCTGGAAAAAGAGGGGAAAAATTAACAATTTCGAGCCATAAAATTACATTTTAGGATGGTTCGACCAGTCTGCGCGAAAAACGTGAAATCTCATTTCACATTGATAATGATAAATTGACGGTGAAACTACCAAACCACGTATCTCGGTTTGCGACGTCGCAGACTTCCTGTCATACTTTATTTTTTAAATGAAAAACTCCTTAACATCCAGTCTTGAAAATTTCTGTGATTTTTCCTCTTTGTGCGGAGAAAATTCTGTGAAAATTTCAAGGAATGATATTGATTTGGTCTTCTTCAAAAAAATAAAATGTGAGCGTAGATTTTTAAACACCACAAACGAGATACGTGGTTTGGTAGTTTCACCGTCGATATGCAGCATATTAATATGGGGCCTAAATTGACGTGAAAGAGCATGAAAATCCTTTGACCAGGATTCAGGAGGAATTATTACAGAAGAGGGGTTTTTCCGCTGGTAAAAGATACCTACCTTTTTGCATACTAGGATAGGAGAGTCATATAATACTTACATAGGCTGTCCAAAAAGTACCGAGACTGGTTCCATAACTCAAAAACCAAGATAGCTAGAGGCTTGATCTTGGTCTCATTTGAAAGATCAACTCAATATCTATCGATTGAGACCAAAATCAAAACTTTTGGTCAAGTATTTCAAAAGTTACGACACTGTTTGTAAAAAAAATATCTGGACCCCCTACCGTTTTTAATGACTATTTTCTCTTGCCGAGAACACTCTCTAAATTATTAATGATCAGTGCACGGTTCTTTTGCAACTAATCATAGCAAAACCTAATTGATTTGGAAACACTGTCAAGCCGTCGTCGTCCGACTACGGGTATAAGGGTTCAAAGTCCACGGGGAAAGAATCAACCGTCGGTCAGCCACCCCTAAAAAACCCGGGAAATTTTCGGCAGTTGTTGACAGTTCACAGTGCGTGCGTGGTCTACGCTGCAGATAGTAAGTGATTTTGTTTCTGTGTTCGAACTGTTTGATACCATCATGGAAAGAGATAAAGCAGTGGTATCAAACATTTCGAACACAGAAACAAAATCACTCACTATCTGCAGCGTGGACCACGCACGCACTGTGAACTGTCAACAACTGCCGAAAATTTCCCGGGTTTTTTAGGGGTGGCTGACCGACGGTTGATTCTTTCCCTGTGGACTTTGAATCCTTATATCCGTAGTCGGACGACGACGGCTTGACAGTGTTTCCAAATCAATTAGGTTTTGCCATGATTAGTTGCAAAAGAACCGTGCACTGATCATTAATAATTTAGAGAGTGTTCTCGGCAAGAGAAAATAGTCATTAAAAACGGTAGGGGGTCCAGATATTTTTTTTACAAACAGTGTCGTAACTTTTGAAATACTTGACCAAAAGTTTTGATTTTGGTCTCAATCGATAGATATTGAGTTGATCTTTCAAATGAGACCAAGATCAAGCCTCTAGCTATCTTGGTTTTTGAGTTATGGAACCAGTCTCGGTACTTTTTGGACAGCCTATGTATATGCAGTATTAAAACTACAGTTTTTTTAATAGGACTGAAATGAGGTAATTTTAAGGTTTGAATGGCGAAGTTTTAAGAGGTAATCATATATAATGTCTAAACGCCTGCAAAAGGCTAATTGCATAAAGACCTGTAAAGGCTGCTAAAGGCTACGCCTGTAAAGGCTCTGCTTGACCTGCAGCTTACTTATCTCGCCAAAGCCCGGCAAAGTATCAAAGAGTTTTTTTTGTTTTGGTGTCGCACTAGGTGGTTTTAAAATGTCCATAGAAACACCCAGATTCATAGAAACATTTTGCCTAACAAGAAAAATGGACAAGAAAAATTTGGAAGGGCTCAGTGAAACTAGAAAAATTATTGAGTTTCTCTTCTCTCTTCAGTTCTCTCTTTTTTTCTGCTGGATATGTCCAAAGTAACATATACAGCGCTCTTGGCATTATCAAGGAGGCATAAAGACAACAATTTTCATTTGATGAATTATTTAGTCTTTCCGATTTCCGAGAGAAAAAGATACAAAATTATTAGACGACATATGTGTTGAATTTTGGCTAATGAATATTCAATACACAAGCTGAAAGTTTCTACATTTCCTTCAATAAATCAGATGCTTTCAAAATTTATTGTCATCAATATAAAACAGACAAATGGTGGTGTAGCATCTTCTATAAGTGTGGCAGACGGCAACCCCTGGGCTAAGTTTTAATCACAAGAAACAGACGAAGTTGTCCCAGAGTAGCTCTAAAACAAGGTTGTCATGTTGAGGTCTGAAACTTTTCTCATTTGCGATGTTTGAACAACGAAAGTTTACTCCAAAGAGCTTGGGAAAATTACCTTCGTCATAACGACGCCGAAAATTCAGGCCTGAATCGAGGAATGCCTTTCCTAAAGACGAGATTTTTTTTTTTGTAAATTTAAAGAGGATACTCGCTTTGAGTGGCTGAGAACTGAGCAGTTTAAACAGTCCTAAACAGTGTAATAGCATGAATTAATTACATAAGGGGCACTCGATGGACAGCAAAGAATTATTTGTAAAAATCTGATTCTTCTTATTCTCTCCGTAGTGATATGTAATAAAACATATTAAATAATAATAAAATATGGGATTTATTTATAAGTCAACGATGGAAACAATTATACTTGTTAATTGGTAATTCTAGTAAGAATAATTAATGTAGAAATAATTAAACATATAAATTAATTGAATATTTAAAGACATATTCAATCAAATAATTAATGATTTATGAAAACACGAAACACACCGATGACAATGTTATTTTTATTAAAAAAATGACCTCATTTAAAATAACAGTCTTAATGTGCTCACGATAATGGAGTTAATCATGAGCCTAACTGATTCCCGCGCCAACCGGTGAAGATTGTTAAATAAACCAACTTTCCTCGTTGAATTTATTAGCGTTAAGCAAATAAGTTATAGCAATATTGAGTACTCACACCTCTGTGCCATAGCCTATAAAGTATGACTGGTAACATATGTTGGATAGGGCCACATGCAAAACTGGATGTATATAGAACGCGCCAGGGAGGTTGAAAATGAATGGATATTTTGCAATAAGGAACAACTGGCTCTGGTTCATTTGAAAAACACCACATTGGCTATTTGCTTCCACATGCAGAAGGGTGATTTCATGTATGACCTAGAAACATTACTTCCGAATTGCAAAATGTAGTCTAAAAAGCACTCGCAAAAATTACCTAAGGTTCCATTAAATCCCGTGCGCTCCAACATCCTCTTATTAAATGTGTTTAATCCCTCAGCGAGCAAATATGACCCTTTTATTTAGTGTAAACCCCGATTAAATACAGTGTAACAGTTGAGGGAATAACGCTGTACCTGCTGAAGGGCAGTGTTGAGGCTATTCTAATTTTAATCTTCAACTATGCGAGGCTACTTTTATGGAATTACGCCCAAAAACAGTCTCTGCATGACTAAATTTGGTCCAATTTATTCCACTTAACCGATAATGGCGGTGAAACTGTACGAGGGCGCATCTTGTTTGCGGTGCGTCGAAATCACTCCCCTCATTTTATTTTATCTACGGAGAACAAAGCAACGCTACTGCTCGAAAATTTCATGGATTATTCTTTCAACAGAGAAGAAAATGCAGCTTTAAGAAACGACGTTGGGTAATTTTCCATAAGAAAGAGAAAATGAATATAGCAGCAATTTTGAAACGCCTGAAACTAAGATACGCGTTCTTGGGGTTTCACGGCCGGGAGGTTATTTTTAATAAGGCTCAATATCGAAGTATGGCTGGTTTACTTAATGCTATATTCAATTACTATACAATTTAATGGAGATGTTGAATGTGTGAGGAATTTGCGATTTGACTGTTGTTTCTTATGTAGAAGTTCGCGAGAAACACGATGGTGCCACTGGTTTTCTCTGAAATCATCTCCCAAGCTCAAAAAAAGCTCTCAAAGTGAGGCCAAAATGGAGGGGATATCCCGCCCTACCCTGAGAGTCCACCTCTACATCAAAACAAACTCTCCATGCAAATATAGGGAGCAAATACATTGACAGGGCTGCGACTTTATTTGGGGACTCTAAAACTGAAAACACGGCAACCCTGCTAATGTATTTGCTCCCTATCTTTGCATGGAGAGTTGGTTTTGATGTAGAGGTGGACTCTCAGAATAGGGCGGGATATCCCCTCCATTTTGGCCTCAACTTGGGAGCCTTTTTTGAGCTTGGGAGTTGATTTCAGGGAAAACCAGTGGCACCATCGTGTTTCTCGCGAACTGTTACATAAGAATCAACAGTCAAATCGCAAATTCCTCAAACGTGCAACATCTCCATTATGTACAAGCTAGCACTCCAAAAAAAAAAAAAAATCAATTACGACGGAAAGTGTGCAACGTCGCAAACGAAGATACGTGGTTTTGCATTTTACCCATCGACAGGCACTTGCGCACCGTGGGCGCGAAAAATACGGTTGTTAGTGGTAACGTGTCCCGCCGGTCGATGCTTGCGAGCGCGAGAGAAATTAAAACGCCTTCAATTAAGCGAGTTTGCAACCTGCGCATCCATCGAGTACGAATAGTTGTATGCAGCGCCTCGAAGGAAGTCGCATCCTACACTGTTGCGGAGGTAGCGCGTCGTTCAGCGGTTGAGTCTGCAAATCTGTATGTTTGTGGTTGAATACCGTTGCTTTTCTGATTGTTTTCTGTGGTTTAAAGTGTGCAACGTTAATGTTGCAACGAAAGAGAGTGGTTTCGCACTTTGGGCATCGATTTGAATTAGGTCCCGTTCCAAAAACGGATCAGGCGGACAGTTCTGCAGTGCTAAGGAAGAATGCCGTATGAACCCTTAGGCGTTGCCAAATTTACTTTGATAAAACACGAATTTCCTGGTAAATTATTGAATATTTTCCTCCCAATTT